ATACTTATTGGCTAATATGAGCTCTCATCTGTGGTTTTCTCTATGGGTGCTAATTCAAACGTAATTTTAAAATTCTGTTTTAGATTATATCTTCTTCCTGTAACATGTAATGAAGCCACTCTGTAAAGAGGCCTCTTCACTTTCAGTAGCGAACTGCAGTACAAGCACAAATGACTTAGAAGGAGCATGGGTATAAACTTATAGAGATAATATCAACAGCAGTTATTTATCCAATACATCTATTCAAGCCTACACCTCATGAGTATATTGCTTGTTTGCCTCAGTTCACTGTAAATCTCCCTTTCATTACTGCTCAAAATTCACAAACGTTCCATTTTTTGATGTATTCTAGAGGCATAAATATTTACACTTGGAAAGAAAATTAAATATGCCAAATGTCTAATGAGCAGTTCCCTTCTATCCTTAACATATTCAAGGGCCAATATTTTAGTGCTGTAATGAAATAAAACCTTTCTTCAACAGAAGTATGTTAGGATACTTTGATCATCACTTGTATCTATTTTCAGCCCATATTTCTTGACTGCTCTAGAGCTCATTAAAATAAATGGAGCCTTTTGAAAAGTGTTTTTGTATTCCAATGATGATAATTAAAAAGATAGTATTTATGCTGCTTAGATAATACAAAGTGTACTTATACACCTTTTTAGAATCTAAAGGCAATGGCATGTACCTGTTGTCCCTGTTCATCACCTATAATTGAGGGGAAATCAATGAGCAAACACAGAGAAAATTGAAAAAAATATCCAAACTAGGATTGAAAAATGATTAACAACCATTATAAACATGCATGGTTGTTAATCTTAGACACTCTGAAATTGTGAAAAAAGAGGAAAAAAATAAATAGAACCCATGAAAACAGAACATCAGGAGTAAACTTGTAAACTAACGAGATAAATTATATGTACCATATTTTTTAACTCTGTTCTTCGCAGCACATCTTGCCTTGATACATCTACTTATTTCTCCTTTGGATTTTAGTAACAAAATGAAGCAACAGCAAACTTAAGGAAGTTTGCACTGAAGTACAGCAAAATTTATTACAATCATCTACTGCATATGCAAGTTTTGCTGTATTCTCTTAAATGTAATAATTTTCTAAATTATCTAGTTTCTACTTTTAGTGAAGAAAGACTTTTTCTTAGTCTTAAACTTCTTAGTCAAGTAGTCAAGCTAAAAACACCAACAGCTTGCCCATGTATGAAGATTGCATAGGCTTGTATGGAGATCGCAGTGATTTTTTGTTTAATGCTTATGTCAGTGACACAGACTATAGAGACAGAAGAATTTGTAGTCCTTCCATCAGGATTGTGTCAGAGACCTCCCTGCGCTCTGAGCACAGAAAGCAAAAGCATATTCCTGAAGTTCAGAAGTGATCAGGACCTCCATGTTCTCCTCCAATTCTGCAGGTAGCTGATGACCTCTCGTTTTCAGAATCCATGGTTCGAGGCACTGATGTTGCTTTTTCTCTGAACTATTAAATGAAGCTTTCAGTAACTAATCAGTTTTGGAGTTGCTTGTGGGTAGGTTCATAACATCACACAGTACATTTCCATTTCCAAATTGAATGGTCTTAATTTTTTGAATCAACATTGGAATGAAATATTTTCCAGTTAGTGTAGAAGCCGCTTTCCAGAAACAATTCAACTCATTTACCAAAAGGCAAATAGGTGTGCCTTGAACACACTAAAATCTAGTTTGCTTACTGAAGATCAGAGGCAGTCAAGAAGACGAAGACCCTATCTGTCTGGTTCGTTCTCTTATTCCCAGCCATGACCAGTAGTAGATGCATAGGCAAAGAGTGCTAGGCACATATCTGTGAGATAATTATTTTACTAGTATAACTTTCTACTTTCCAGCAACCAGTAGCAAAGGGACCTATCATCTTAGACTGAGTTTATATCTGTCTCTTCTTTTGTTCAGAACAGAATGCCCTCTTTTTCATATCATCTGCTAATACAGTGACCATCACAGATCCTCGTACCACACCGCTCCAACTATTTTGAAAACAAGTAATTTGTTATTACCTGCTTTTTTTGTCTCTAATCAGTCACTAATTTATGAAAAGACCTTCCTTCTTGCCCCGTGGCAACTTCCCGTTAATAGCATTGGGAATGAACCTCATCAAAAGTGTTCTATGGAAATAAACATAGTATATCAAGCATACTTACTTGCTTTCTGAATTTCAAAAAACTCTGATAGACTAAGAAAGGGTGATTTTTTTCTAAAAGAAAAAGCAAAAACCAAGTCACATTGACTCTTCCCCATTATATCATGTGATTATTCATTCTCTCTTATTCATTCATGTTGTGGTCACAACCACTTTCCTTCATATAGGGGCTAGAATGACTTTTTATGCAGATCGATCCGGATTCTCTTTTGAAAAAAAGGATTTGACACTTGTCACACCTATTTTGCTGTACTAGGGCCACTATAAGTGATAAGCTTTGCATCAGAGCTGGTTGTTGTGTAATTTCTTGTCTAAGTTCCTTTGAAACACCTGAGAAAATATTATCTGGTCCTTATATGTGTCACAGTTCATTACATGAATTTCTTCTAAAGTACTTTCTATTAACACTAAATTTGAAACACTTCCTGGGACTTACCTCACATAAGAAAAAGCTCCAGGCTATGAACTTCCCAAACTTCCTATGCAAAGAATTATCTTGTATCTATGCCTTACAGACTCCCCCCTTTCAGTGTTTTTGAAAAAAGGTTTTGTTATTAGTTCTTATGCTTTTACAAAGTTGGTCCTCAAAATCTTTGTGGGCTTGCTATACCACAACTTTACATTTAACTTGCTAGAGTTCATGCTTATTTCTTAATCTCAGGTGACTCTCAGTTGTAGAACTTTTTTTCTGTTGTTTAACTAGGCCTTTAAAAAGGCCACAGTTTTTGTAGCATATCACCAGCCCCTACGGAACTTTGTATGGATTACTACTGAAAACATAGCTGCAAAGCAGTAAGGTGATAACCGCTGGGCGCGATACATCATAAATCATACAATATGAGTATGCATATATTTGCAAACTTCTGTCTTCTACAGTGAAGTTCTTTCCCAGCAGCATTAATAGGAAGTCTATAGTGATGTGTCAAATATTTATCAGCAGCTTCAGACCTCAGCATGTTCCTCCCACATCTCACAGGGCCTCTTCCCCTGCAAATCACACCAGTCAGCAGTGGAAGACTGTTTGTACTGTGGCTTTGTTCAAATCCTCCCTCCTGTTGTGCATCTTTTTTAGGTCATGATTACATTTGTACCTCTCTCTCAGGTAGGAGCGGGTTTTGTTCAGAAAGAGTCACCTAAATCCTTTTGCTCTTAGGAACAGTCCTAAAAGGACAGTGAGCAGCACTATCCAAAGTTCAGGGTCAGATGCCAGCAGTACAAGGTCATCAGTTATGACAGAAAATACAATTGCCACTACAGCCATGACTGATTGGTTACGTTTGACAGCTCTCTGCTTCGTGGCACTGCTAGACACAGTGAGGGTGAAATTTAGCTTCAGTGACTCCAGCTTCTCGTTACAGCTTTCTATAATGTGCCATGGCAGAGAGGCTGAGGGTGCTGCTGAAACTTGAAAGGACCCAATATCAAAGCAGTCATAACAGCAATGGTTCTCATTTTGCACCAACTGGGCTTCTTCCGCGTTCACACGACACTTCTGAAGCAGCGGCTGGGGCCGGGGCTCATGTCATGCTTTTTATGAACCTCAGAGCTGTGATCAGCTCGGGGAAGTCTGCTTCAAGGGCTTCCTGCAATTATGAACACAAATGTGGCTGGCTAATGACGGCAGCCCTCTAATTATGGTAGAGCAGTCTAGGACTAGAAATAATTTTAATCTAAAGAACTGCCTAATTATCACACACACTTTACAAACGAACTCTCTTAGACACAAAATAATTTAAGTGAGTGGTTTGAAGGCAAAAATTGTTTACGGAAATCAGTAGGAGCAGATACCAGCAGACCCATATTGCCAGTCCTGTGCTGTAACCTCTTCAGCGCGACATATTCATTCTGTGTCTTTCAGAAGCTACCTCTCTTTGCAACCAAAAGAGATTTGGGAGAAAAAGGGGGGGGTCACTCAGCAATTTTTGACATGCCTGTCCTTGGGGACCGAGACCACGGAGATTATGGCAGCTGCCTTCCAGATCCTGCTGGCACAGAACAAGCAGGCTGATTTAACTTGCAAAGCTAATAAGAGTGAAAAGAAGTGTTGGGGTAAAGATAACACTGTTCTACACAGAAATACTGGTACAGACTTTTAAAGCCAGTTAGAAATTTTCTATGCAAAGTCCCATTAAAGCAAATGGGAATGAACATCCAGATTCACACACATCTTTGAAAAACTCAGCTCTTTCATCTCATAAGCTTCCAAACCAGGATTTATGCTCTCTAAAAACCAACTAATAACTAAAATTAGTGTAAGACAGGTTGTACTGTACATACAAGGTAATTTCATCAAACTATACAGGCAAGAATTTAAAGTTAACTATAGATACCAATCCTTGTCCTTGAAAGTATTGAATACATCTGCTGGACACCCCTTCTTAGGTTTTCTGGTCTATATCACAGTCTCCTCTAGTCACGTTTATTGCTACATATCTATTAATACTGGAAGACTGCATCCTTACGGAGGTATGTGTACACACCTTTTATGCTACAGAAGACAGAAGATAGAAACATTAAGCTTTAATAAAAGTGAATGAAGATAACCTTTTCTATGGACAGAGTACACACACAAACGGTCACTGCAACTCAGCTGACATGGAGTAACTCATTAAGCAACACTAATTCAAATCTGGGGGAGCCCTTGACTTCCCATAACTATCCTCTCACTTAAGATGTCTCACAGCTGAATTACCAGGTTGCAGGTTTTGATTTTCAGTCACAAACACACAAACCGTACGGATATTATCTGAAGCTTGATACATAATTTCCCAAACAGGCACTTTATAAGGAGACTCAGAAGTCAGATACTCACTGATTTGGTTGGTAGATGCACTATAAAAAGCATTTACAGTAGTTGGGCTTGTAAACCACCTGTAGTAAGAGCAAAAGAAATCGGCTGTCAGCACACTTACACATCTTTATGAATAGACTGAGCAAAGGTAAAAAGTGAACACAGTGGAAGGAAGCAAAAATGTCAAAGACCTAGGGTACACTAAAGTTTAAGTATTTCTCCATTTAAACACATGCCACCTACACTTTCTATAACATTGAAATCTATTCTTTAATGGCTCTATTTTAAGTGCACACAGTCAATGAATGTTCTACAGGAACAACTGTTAAGCTTTCTATTACCTAATCTGTTTTTTTTCTAGGTGACCTTTGTGCTTGTGAGGTCTGCTAAGCTTGTCCAACAGAGGCTGCAACACTGACAGCAGCTGTGAAAACTCTCTTAGGTGTCTTTCAACCATGCATGGAGAAACTCCCTCTTGAAATTGGAGAATAATGTTTTGAAATGAGTGGCTTCAGACGCTTTACTGAAAAACTACTTGAACAATTAGGACGATGCCAGCAAAATGGGCAGGTGCTTTCTGGGAACCTGCATTCAAAATAAACAGCTTCACATTCTATACCCAATACAATGAACATGGCCATCAGTGTGCTCATAAACAAATGGACTTCTTGCAAGGCAAAACGCATTTTAAAAAGAATATTAACATTTCTTCTCATAGTTAGATTTCTCACAGATAATGGAGGGAAACCTAGATTTTAATTGCAGATAGGGTTTATGAATCTCCTTAGCCTAAGCTCATGTATATTGAAAGTGGTTTCACACATATGAGTGGAAAATCTCAGTTGGCTTCAGCAAGATCCAAATCCCCTCAGATGAATCTCTGAGTTCAGTGAGTCTAAGATTTCACTTTACGATTTTAAAAGGAAGAACTGAGACAAAAGAGAAGTAATAAAGATTATGAGAATTATAGATTAATTCATAATAAATTGGAATCAACTCTAGTAAATGTCCAGACAGGACCATACTGATGTCATTAGCAACACATTATTTGGAAGTTTTGTGAAACCAAATGAATGCAACGCAATTGCTTTGGAAAATTCATTTCAAAGACAAGAGATGGGAGCTGCAAAATGAAGAGTAAGACAATGGAAAATCTATAAGAACATGGAAAATGTGTGATGTCACTAACATCACACACACACACGGTCTGTACTTCAAAAGAGCACCATAAAATGAGTGAGTTATCTGCAGATCCTGACTGTTTTTCTGGCAACTGATGTCCTCACATAAACCACAAAATAAAGGGGAGACTTTTTGAATGGCAGCATTCTGTCTTTTATCAATAAATTTATCTGCTTCTCTCATCTTCAAAGCTGAGCAGCTGATTTTACAATGCAACCAGAAAAACTAGCCAATAAAGCAAACAGTGTTGTCATGTAAATATCTTAACCATCCATTGCATTATAGGCTCTAACTGCCACAGATAGCACTCCCTGTTCTGTTTACTAGGAGATTCTGAAGGGCGGGGAGAAGGGGGAGGTTGTTTTCTGGTGTGTTTTCTGTTTCCTCCAGAATAAAGAGATTAAATGTTAGAGGTAATGTAGTGAAATAATGGAAAATTGAAGAAGGAATGTTTATGGTGAAGGGATGAAGAAAAAATTACAGGTCTTAATTAGCTACATTTCCATTTCATGCTTGTTCACAGCAGCAATCGGCTAAACTGCTTTGAAGGATGCAAGCCAGCCAGTTCTGTGGTGGGACCTGCTCTCCCGGCTCAGCAGTAGCTCTGGAAGACTCTGTCCTTCCATCTGAAAGGGACCTATCTGAAACACTCAACACTTTAACTTAGATTTTGCTGTAAGTTCGAACAAGACACATAGCATTGTGACTTCCACCTCACCCTGTTGGCTTTTTCTACTTGCAAAGGCCTTTCTGATCTCTTGAACAGCAATGTTTAAGCATGAAAAAGGCTTCCGGGACAAATCATCCTCCCTTTTTGCAAATCCTTCTTAGAGCGAGTGTCTTACAAGGCCTCTGATTTCCAGGCACAGGATCAAGGGCCTGAGACAGATAACAGATACTTCAAAAAAGACTAATGCGCTTTTCTCTTCTCCCCATCCTCTTTGCTGCTGCAGCCCCAGGGTCTCACCACAGCTAGTTCAAGACAGGAACCACCACAAGCAGTGGTTAAAGAGCTCTTCACTGACAAGCAACACCTCTCTAACGGTGCAAGTTTGCACCTGCTTTTGTTGGGTGAGGAGCTAACCAGGGATGCACGTACTTGTCACCACAGGAGCACCTCACTCTGCCCGAGAGCTAGAGCAAATGCTGTTGCCTTTTGGTCTGCAGCTGCCGAGGGAGGACATCACACCATGGCTGGCCATGCTTTCACACCTATGAACTCATAGACTCATAGCTTGTGGAGTAGCTGCTAAAACTCATCACAATGTCCCCATCCTGAGACAGCTTCTTTCTTCACTATCTACCACCGCAATAACAGACCATTCTGTTTCCTGAGCTTAGTATGAGCCAAAGACTCATAGCAGCCTCGATTGTCTCACTGTAGAACTGAACTAAGTTCTTTCCAAGTTGCTCTTTCATAACGAGGCCTCATGAATGACCTCATATGACGTTTTTTATGTTTTCAAGCAGCTAGGAAGAGGAGACTTAACAGTCATACCGAGGAGTCAGGAAGAACAAGCATTCTCTAGTGGCAAGCAGAGTATACTGCTGAATTTCATATTTGACATATAGACACTCAATAAGGAGCTTATTTACACTCCAGCTTTTTGTTGTACCACTCTGAGCCACTGGCAAAAAGATTTAGGAAGCATTTTCCACAAAAGAGCAGAAATAACCGAGACTGCTTCCATTCAGACTATCAGCAGAACTTCACCTCTCATCTTTCATCCTCTTTCAGTGTGCTCCTTGAAATGACTGAACCTTCAGCGACAGACCTTAACTAATAACATATCAAATTACTGTATGAAGGTCTGTAATAAATAGCTGTCGCTGTTAAATTTTAAGGTGAAGTAAATTTAGAAATAGTGCTCTCATTCCTGTTTGAAGTCAGGTTGCCTGGGCATTTGCTCTAGTTTTGGTTATTATTCCAGTGTATTTGATATATTAACAGAAGGAAAGTAAAAAAAAAGACAGGCATCACAAACTCTAAGCTCTTACTAATTACAAACTAAATAAAAAAAACCATCCAGAAGTGTTTACACT